GCAAAGCTGCATGGACATATGGTGAGAAAAACTGTCTCAGTTAGAGTCACTCCTTAATACAAATGACTGAGCTGATTGTTGAGACATATTGCTCAGTGTTTCACACACCACAAGACAATACCTGGACGCGCCACCCAGATATACTTATGTCCGCCTAAGTATCCGACCTGATTTTATTTAGTCACAGAAAATTGCCACAAGCACGTAAGAGAAACTGAGAAAGAGAAGACGGTGGACGTAAATTAACAACGTCCGGTCCTCACTTTAGTGCACGTACCAGTAAACTGTGAGCCCAGACTCCTGATGCAAATCCATGCCCACAGCACAGTTTGGGGCAAGGATTTGCTGTAAGTGTCTTTTGTTGATGAGCTGATTGAGGTGCAATGCTCATGTCAAAACAGATGCTTTGTTTCAATGAAGGTCAAAGGTGAAGCAGCTCGAACAGGCTAGGTAGTCATGTTGAGACTCTAACGTTTACGGCACCAGCAGCCATGCTGTTACTTCTTTGTATTGACTCGCTATTAAAAGATGATCACAACAGCCTTGCAGAGTTCTTTGACACTGGAAATCCTCCCCCAGCTACAGCTATTCTTCACTCCACTGTTTAGCTCGTTGTCTCTTTACAACCATTAGACTCAAGTTTCTTCTGGAGGGCATCCATCAGGTTGTTTTCCCTTCCTACTTCGACACAAAGATACTGAGGTCACCCACCGCGGTGTCATCTCATGTTATACTGAGCAGATTAGTGACTACATGGGGATCATAGTTTCCATTCACAGGACCAAGTAGCTGATTGTGGCACACAATGCAGAGCTGTGGATGCACCAGTATAGAAACATGTGGGTGGAAGCTTCTTCCAGGAGGAGAGCGTTACACCACATCCGTCTCTGATTGGAAAGATAAACAGCACTGCTGCTAGCTCTTGTGGAAACATCCCTCCTTCCCTCCACCTCGCTCCGTCCGTCTCACTGCCTCTCCCAAGTTTAGGACATTTTTCATCAGCTCGTAGAGATGCATGAAAATAACGGCACAGTCTGTCTCCAGCACAGACGACACCAGCAAATGAGCAGAAACCTATTTTGTTAACATGCAAATCATTTCTGCAGAAGGAAAACTCGGAGTGTGATTTGCAAGGAAGCATAGCATATTACTGAAAACTTCAATTAAAAGCTCATCCCAATTTAAGGCCCACTCCCTTTAACTCGCCTGGTGCTGCTGCACATTGTGACAAATAAGACAGCTCTCAATTAGAGGCTCCGATGCATTCAGTGATGAAATAGTGAATGGCTCAAACACAAGGAGAAAAAGCAGCAAGACACAAAAAACATAAAGATGAACTTCAACATCTGTCCAAGAAAGACAGAATAATGCTTGTTTGTGTGCAGGACTTGACGCAGGTTTGCATGCTGTTTTAAGCAAGATCCAATAAATGATTTATTTCTTTATTGCTATCCTAATTTGGTAAACAGTTCAATGATTTATTTTTGGTGTAAATCTACAATTTCATAGTATTTTCCATTTTTTTGTTGGAATATAATTAAAAGCCTGTCTCGTCTTTACGCCTGTCCCAAACAAAGACAGGATCATTTCATAGACAGAAGTGAATAAAAGCCTGGGCTATCAATAGAAGTTATACGATATTAAAACTCTTCTATCCTGTTTGGAAATGGGTCCTTTGTTCCATCTAATCGATACTGACGGTCTGAAGATGGTGGTAATGTCGTACAGAGACAAACTGGTGACAGGATGTGCAGTTACAGCTTCAGACTCCTTCCAGAACAAACAAACAAATAGCTTAGTGAAATGTTGCTACTTTTTACTACTCTTTCACGCAGTTGTTCAGTTAACCTCATACGGGCGGACTGATGGTAACATTTGTTGCTTTCTTTCCACTCACAGTTTTTAAAAAGATCAACTGTATTAGTTGAACTGCAGCTCTCAAACTCCAATTACTCCCAAGAGTCACTCAGAATCATTTAAAGAGCCGTCAAGAGCAACTGAACATGAGTGGCAGCGATTACACAGAGCTATTTAATTCAGTGGCAGCCACTCGAGTGATTACATTCTATTACACCGTGCAAACACGAGGGCACCGCTGGCCTTTTAAAGAGGACCTGCTGTCCCGTAAAGCCCAGGCGTGGCCCCGCTCAGCACCCGATTGCTCTTAATGGGATTTCACAACATTACCATTCTACTGAGTCAGCATCAGACATGCTGGCTACAGTGGCACTCTGCTGAAACGGCCTGACTATACTCTGCTGTGTGTGTGCGTGTGTGTGTGTAGGAGGACGAGAGCGAGTGTGGGGAATAGGGTTGGACAGTTATCCTACATGCTTGGACTTTAGTAGAATCCCTCGAAGAACACACTACTGAAAGTACATCCTCTTTAAACACAACCACAAAATGTAGGAAAAACAGATCCTAGGAGGAGGCAGCTGAAATCCATGAGCAAGGCAGCTCCTGTTGTAATACACATGAACAGCAGAGGGTCAGACGGCTTTCACACCTCGAGTAAAGTCCTGAAACACTCTTGATATTTCCAGGAGGAGCTGTAAGTGTGAACGCAAACAGCCAAATGTTTCTCTCAGACTTTATCCGGAGTTTCTCCTGCCAGCCCCCTCATATTTTTCCACAGCAAGAAAGCAGGATATAGTCAGGAGAATTTACCTTGAGCAAGTGGGGGGGGGTATAGAGTATATGAATGAGACCACTACGATCTCTGTGCTCTAATGAACCTGCTGCATTATGTTTCCTGTTCTCCAGTATGTTCTTCTCCACTCTTTACTTCAGATTGTGATTCTGTAGCATTGATATAAGGACAAATATTCACATTATAGCGCCGTATAGAGGATTCTGCTGCTTCGTCCCCTACTTCTGCATCATTCCACTGCCCCCCTCCGGTCTGACAGTGACAGTCTCCAGCCATGAGGTGCATGTGTGAACAACCAAGTCAGGAGAATATCTGGAGCATTCCTCCTGAAACTATCTAGATACCTTGCTGCAGACGGGCTTGCTGGAGAAACTCCAGGTGAAGTCTGAGTGACGGTGTTCACAAATACAGCTCCTCCTGGAAATATCAGGAGTTTTTCAGAAGTTTTCTGCAGGTGTGAAAGTGTTGTGAATAATGAAACTCCTGCCTATATAACGCCAAGAAAGGAGAGTGCTCTGAATGCTGATTTTCATGATCAATGTCAAGGCGTCGTTATGTTGGCAGCAGGGGAGCATTGGGGACAAAAAGCTGTTATTACCTGGGGTGTCACCCTCAGCTGTCATTAGGGCGAATTTGCTACTTGACACTGGAGGGACCGCGGAGCAGCACAGCAGTCATTTCACACCTCGTGTCAACATACATTTACCAAATATCCTGACAATGATGTGAGCTATTAGTTTCCACCCACAGTACACGGTTCCCCCAGTCAGGCTGCTGCCGCTAACTTTTAGTTGGAGATGTTGAATGTTTTCTACCTTGACTAAAAGTTGTGCATGCCTTCAGCGATGCAGAGACACTGAAATGATTTCATCACTCACTGAAATTCAACCTTATTGTGCAGCTGCTAGCTGTAACTATACGAGAACTTTAAACACACATATGATAGCCCCCTGCTGTCCTGCACTCACGCTGCTCCAGGAACAAACAGGACCTGAGCATGAAGTGTCCCCTGCTTGAGCAAACGATGTCGACTTTAGGGGTCAAACATGCTATGGCACAGTATGGATTGCCTAGTGTGAGTGTGTCCTGAAACACTGAGGATCTGGTCCTGTTTATGCCACCTACCGGTGCTGTAACAGGGAGGTCACGGTGGTCACAGGGTCAAATCTCGGGTGGTGGAAAATAGAGTGCAGGGGTCAACAGCTCCTCTATGACCTGGCTTTCAACCGTGCAGGGAAGCCAATTAAGATTCAAACCATTAGTCAAACCAAATACGGGGAGCAAAACAAAAGAAAAACTGCTGACAGTTGTTGTTTGTTGCACCGAATACAACCAACCAAAAAAACACAACAGTGAGCCAAGCGACCACATCAGCCCTCCATGTTCTCTATCTCGCCATCTGCTGTGGTCCTCCCACACAGATCTCTCATAACACTTGATCTGGACGGTAGCCTGCCAATACCCAGGAGGGCAAAGCAGATGGTGTGGTTACAGGCAAAACATTTAGCCTTTGAATAGCAGGCACACTGCTAATCAAATGGGCACTGAGTGAAGTCAAACAGTCCACTTTCTACTGTTGCTTTTAAGTCATCACGGTGGCTTGTTTGCTCACCTGAGTTCAGGTCGGCTTCAGGTTTTTCAAAGCACAGAGTGTGGAGGGGAAAGCAGTTGGAAGAATCCCGTAAAATGCTGCCAAGGCAACATCATGAGATTAATCTTTCCACTCCCATCGAGGGTAAATTGAAACTGTCATTTAATGTGTGCCTGAGTGAGTCATTAATAGAGTTGTTCCTTTAAGGAGGCTAACTGGTTTGCAGCAGCAGGCGTGAGCAGAACTCCCTCTTACAAGAGAAGAAAGCAAATCCTGGTAGCCCAGCCTGTATCATGACATGCGTTCACTCCATGAAATGCCTTCATAAATAGATTCTAGGACTTTCTTAGGGGCTGTTTAGTGCGTCACGAAACACTTAAATGCGTGAGAATGGTTCAATAAGTCAAATAAGCGACTTTTTCAAGTTATTAATTCGTGAAAAACATGTCAGAAGAAACCCCGTATGAGCCTTCTTTAACTCCTCCGTGCTTGTGTTTGTTGTCAAGGAACAACAAATGAACACAGTGAGCAGACTTTGACGAACGCAGTCTGCAGTCCTCGCAGTGCGCGGAGGGAAATGATCGGTGCTGTTGTTCGGCGACCTCAGAAAACACAAGAGGAAAGTTTGAGACCCGAGTTTTTTTGGATTCCCGCAAAGCCAAGCGACACTGTAACACAGTCTCAGTGCCTGTACAGATGTTTTCGGCACCATTTTTTTTTTTTAAAGCGATAGGTAAGAAGGGAAAGAAATAAACTTACCGTGCGTCCTCTCCAAGGCAAACAGTCTCTCCAACACGACGCCAACTTCTCTCTTTCCTCGGTGAAAACAACCCGAACAGCTCGAGACAATTAGTGACATTAAATAATTATAGGAAAGTGTTAAAAGAAAGGCAAAAAAAAGAAACAGCCTCTACGAAGTCGACATTGTGTCCGTGTTGCGCGAGGTGAAATGGTTTGCACGCGACGGGCGGCTTTCTTTGTTCCTCCTGCCTGCAGCTCGTTCCGTGGAGATCTTCTCACCGTTCATGTGTCCCTGACTGCCGCTGATTGGCTGATGGCTCGGGATCAAGAAAAGGTGACCAGTATCAAGTTACACACTCTAAGAACACGGTTTCCGATCACGACGTCCATGAAGATACTGTTTTGCGCAAACGTTGCCGTCATGCTGAGTGGGGTTTTTTTTTATCCCATATGCAGGCATGACGTTGCCTTACGTAATAATCAGCAGCATCATAAAGGTTTTTTTTCCTCATGTTTATTCCTGCTGAGATATATATTTCCCTCAAACTGGCGAAGATCCTGCTTTTATTTTGTTAATCAGTACTCTACTTCCCGATGTGGCTGTACAGAAACCTGACTCAGGGTGGAGGCCTCGTGCCTTACATTCTTTTAGTCTGAGGATTATTAATCAAGAGATGTCGCCTTTAAGTCGTTGTATTTCTTTGTCCAGGGGCGGATTCAGACTTTCTGACTGGGGTGGCTGGGGGGGGGGATTTATTCTCCCTTTGAGACAATCCTTTAAAATACACATGAACACCTGCACAAGTCAGAAAAACAACTCGGAAAAGAATTAGGTGCCCGACTTACCAACTTGACGTCAGAATCATCATCACATGGGGGGCAAAATTTGTTTTATTAATTTTAACATACTTTTTATTAATTCACGTATTGCACATGAACGTTTTGCTCAAATATCACTTTTAAGAGTTACATTTCACTGATCTTCTTCGTAGCATCAACGCTTGTTTTTTGCTGTTGTTACAACATTCCGACTTTCCGAACTGAAATCATGTGAACACACTGAAGTCGGAAGAACGACTTCCCAAATCGGAAACGTTGGCCCTTGAACTTTGTGTGGACTAGGTTGCTAATAAACACTTTAATGGACATCTCAAACAATCGTGCACGTAGCAGCCGTGTTGGATATTTAGCTCGGGCTACTGAGGTTCCTCTGAGTCTTTCGAGTTGGACTTCAGGGTGGCGTTCCTGATGACATATCCAACTGGCAACTCTCAATTTCAGCCTTCCGAGATCAAATGGACCGCATCATAGTTGTGTCGGTTGGGTATTTTGTTGTTTTTTTGCTTTTACATGAATGTCAAAGCGCTTTGTAAACCTGTATTTTTAAGGGTGCTTTAGAAATAAAGTTCAGCTGGGATCGGCTTCAGCGACCCTGAATGGGAAAAGCGTTATAGATAATGGATGGAATGGATTAAAATATATAAATACCTAAAGGCAAACCAAAGTGGTTTCCTCAAAATGTGTACAAAATAGTATTTAAGGAGTCACTATGTGATATGGGAGAGGCTTAAATTCCTTGGCAACCATATTGTATGTTTGCTATAAATTGATTGAACATTTTTGACGTCAAGCTTCAGGGATACCAGTTGCTGTAATTTCTTACCTGTGGTCAGAGCCAGGCTGTATCTCTTTGTCTCCTATGTCTTCATGCTTAGCTTAGCTGACGCTCTCCTGGCTCGAGACGTGAAACTTCATGGTCAAAGGATTCCTTTTTATCCGTCCGTCCAACTCGCTGTCACCACAGACAGTGAAATGTCTGTTACTCATAAAGTCAGAGAGTTGATCTTTGTGGAAACAGACACAGTTTCCACTAAACATGACTCAGGGTTGCATGCTGTGTGTGCATGAGTGAGTCTGTGTGCATGCATAACATGGATTTGTTGTTGTGTAAGAGCCAGATTTGTGCAGATCTCCTGTCTGTGAACGAGGCTGTGAGTGTGTGAGCTTCAGGATGTGTGTGTGCATGTTTGTTCCCCTGCTTTTTTGTGTGTGTGCAAACTTCACAGAAAGCTGCCTGGGCTGTTCGCACCAAGTTTCCAACAGAACACTCTTCATCAGATGTTTTCATTCTCTGCCTTTCATTACGACGTCTGCCTCACTTCCCACTACATCAACCCTTCCATTTTCAACCCCTCTATTTCCCCCCGGCTGTCTGTCCCAACCAATCCCCACGTGTCACTTCTTCATCCTGCGCATGGGCCTCCATCTCCCCTTGAACTTTTTGTGAAGCCGGTCATAATTGGATGGTGTACTGACAGTCAAACAATGTCACTGAATCACCATGAGGATTCCAGCTTGTTGGAAATAAAGGGGAGTATATTGTCTCGGCTTGGCTGAACTTCCCTTCACTTTCCCTCCCATATGTACGTGATTTGTGTGTGTGTGTGTGTGTGTGTGTGTGTGTGTGTGTGTGTGTGTGTGTGTGCCACAGAGAGATGTCCCTGAATTCACCCCTGAGGCACTGTGCTTCTCACAGCCTCACACAGCGGGTGTAGGATTCAAACAGACCCAATCTTTGTGGATAGATTTCAATCAAAGTGATTGTCCAAAGTCACCACACTTATTTACAAATGTCCATACCTTTAAAGTCTGATTATATGAAATCAAAGCTTTGGTACACACATTCATTTTCCCCTGAGGATGAGACATGATAACTTTTATGACCACTGCTCAACACTTTGTTCTTATACAAGAGCATACTCCTCCTTAAAGTTTACCTATTCTGCTGAAGAAAAAAAAACTCACATGAAGTGTTGAAATACTGGATGCCCAAACTAAACGTGGGCAAAGTTTTAGATCAGGTGAATGTATGTTGCAGTAATCCCAGGATACGTCTGCAGAGGGCGCTAAACAGCTTTTTCTGGAAATCACGCCGTAGTTCCCCGATATTAAAGAAAGAATTTCACGAGACGGCTTTGAGCCTCTACCTAAGCCGCTGAAACCTCTTGCATAGACTGTCTACTCCCAGCTCCCACCTCTCTCCTCTCTCTCTCTCCTCACTCCTCTCTCCTAACTCCTCTCTCCACTCTTCTCACTCCTCTCTCCTCTCCCTCTCTCTCTCTCTCTCTCTCTCCTCACTCCTCTGTCCTCTCTCCTAACTCCTCTCTCCTCTGTCCTCTCTCCTAACTCCTCTCTCCTTTCCCCTCTCTCCTCTGCTGGCCCATCACTAGTTTACTTCCCCCACCAGATGAAGAGCCTGTTTGAGCTTTATTTTTTATTGTGCTGCATTATTGTTAACAGAAGGCGTCTTTGTAAAGCTCACTTTAAACTCAATCAGACTTTTATTAGACCCCGCCTTTAGGGCCTTCATCACCAAAAAGACAAACACATCCAAAGCTTAAAAAGATCTTTGGGTGACATCAAAACAACTATATTAAATAAAAGTAAAATGTATAGGGAAGACATAGAACTAGAGCGAGGAAGGCAGATCGGAGGCATTTTCTTTGGTGTGCATGAAATCTTCTGCGTGTTTCCCATAAGCTTAAAATGTTACTTCGCACTTCGACAGTGTGGGCTGCAGAAGAAAGCTGGAGCAGGAAAAGCAGGAGAGTGCACCGCTTCACTGCTCACTATAACGTGAACTAGTGTTTCACCCTGGGCTGCAGCAAACAGACAGCCATGTGCTGCACAAGCTGCTGAAGTTCATGTGTTCAGTCAGTCACTGACCTGGAGGAGAGTTTCTGTCCATACAACATGGAGAGGGTTAGGATGAGGCAGTGAAACAGACAGGGTGGAAGAAGAGATATTTCATACAGAAGTAGAGTTCTTTGGTTACTTTTTCATCCTTCTGTGGCCCAAACAATTATTAAAAACAGATCAGGTTGAGAAACAAAGAAACAAGCATGGACTGGACTTCAGGCAAATTCCACAGATTTAACACAATGATCACAAAGAGCACTTCTCATATTTGTCCTGCAGCTCTCAGAAGAGAAAATCAAGAGTACTACTATGCAACTACTTAAAGAAACAACAACAAATCGTCCAGAAGTGTGCAATTCATAGTATGCGCATTAGCTCAAACTGTATTGGCAAGGAGTTTTTCTCTAAATGTTTTGGTCTAGTATGATTACTAGTGGGCTGCACGTGGTGCTGTCCCCTCACAGCGAGGAGGTTCCTGGTTTGAATCCCCGTCTGACAGGAGTCTCTCTGTGTGGGTTCTTTCCGGGATCTCCGTCTTCCTCCCACAGTCCAAAGACATGCTCGTTAGGTTAACTGCTGACTCTATATACCCGTAGGTGTGAATGTGAGTGTGGCTGGTTGTCTGTCTCTATATGTCAGCCCTGTGATTGACAGGTGAACAGTCCAAGGTGTAACCCCGCCTCTCGCCCAATGAGAGCTGACGTCGGCTCCAGCCCGACCCGAATGGGAAAAGCAGTAAAGATAATGGATAGATTGATTACTAGTTTTTGATGGATGATGTTAGCAAACTTTCTGATTCATTCTTCTTTTTTAAATGGAATGAAGTGAATGTTTTGATGACTCATCAGTTTTGATTTGATGAAGGATAAGAGTTATTCACAATAAGGCGTGTAACTGACCTGATTGAAAGGTGGGCTTGGTGTAACTGTTTGTCAGGAGGCTTAAAACCCGCCTCAGCTCCAGCTCTCAGCCTGTCGTTAGGTTGACTGAAAGTTAGGCTGAGACAGCATTTCCAGCATGGAGACCACCATCGATGGGACTCCAGCGCCCCCTGCAGGAACAGACGGGTGACGTCACTCAGGCTTCAACCATTCATGTTTACTTATGCTTCTGCATACGCTTTGACCGTTTCTTCTTCATCTGTCTCTCATGAGATTCTGTTGCTTAACAGTTGGGGTGCCCCCCCTGTGCCCCTGCTGCAGGCATGCTTCCCTCTGCACGACCTCAAAAATGTGAAATCACTTCAGTGGAAGTGAAAATTGGAAAGCATGCGTCAAAGCAATACACTACAGAGAAAATAGGCCAAAGCATGAAGATGAAAAGCTTGATATAAAGACTTTCATCTTTACACACAGCCCAAATACAGATTAGTGCCCAGATTCTCCTTTTTCCCAGATTAAGGCAGAGATCAGAAAAATACAGAAAGCACCAAAAACCCATCAGAGGTGGTGGAAATGGAAAACAGCAACTGACTGTCATTTGTATCCCTTCCTCTCCAGTTCAGAGGTAAACAAGCTGACCGTCATAAAACTAACAGGCTCCATCAGGTTTGATGCTGTCTTTCCACAGAGTGTCCCCAAATGCTTAATTTAAAAGTGAAACACAACCAACAGCCTCAGGCTCTTTGTATTATTCCAGGCACAGTGGCTTTGCTGGCAGAATGTGGAGCATGTTTGGGAACACACTCGTCCCTTTCAGTCTGACACAAAGCGTGCAGGTTCTGACTCAGGCTGGTCCTGCAGGAGCTGATGTGATGATGATGATGTCATGCTGTTGTTGAGGCCAGCAATGAGCTGTGAATTAGGTAAGTGTCTTTTTTACAGCAGGGCTATGCCATCATTCATCTGGCTTATTGTATTCATTCAACCCCTTTCCCCAATCAGTGTTCTGCTTTAGCTGGCAGATTTCACATGCAGCAGTCAGTTTCTTGTCGTGAGACAATAATTGTCCAACCTTTTTTTTTTTTCTCTTCCTCATTTTTTGGACAGAAGGAGCATCGACAGGCTGACTTATCTTCTGCACTGAGCTGATGGTGTGCTGAGCAGACGCTAAGTAGCTCAACACTACCACCTGTTGGTTAAAAATGTACCTAAATCCAGCTGATGTGCAGCAATTACAGTTTTCCCCAAACATGTTTCCTTAAACATGGTTAGAATTCTTTCTCAGGCTGGCTCTGAGAGTCGTCTGACCCTCCTAGCTCCACTCTGAGTACAAGCTTTTACCATCTGGAGGACGATACAGAATCCCCTCGATGTAACCTGAACCGGTTTAGACCAGTTTTTACTTTATTAATCCCTGAAGGAAATTCTGGTTTTACACTTATTGAGAAACATGCTTCTCACACACATAGGCCCGAAACACACACGTGTACAAACAGGACCCTGAGGCACAGGGAGCAAACCAGAGTGGTTGGGGGTTCTGTGCCTTGCTCAGCAGTACTCAGGAAGTGCACTGTGGCACCTCTCCAGCTACCAGACCAACTTCCATATTATTATTATTGGGCCTAATATCATAGCCTAAATGTTGATTAAAAAAGGCGCTCCAAGAAAGACATGCAGACACCGGAAACACTTGCACTCTTTCCATTTTATTAGCTTTTTGTTTTACAAAAACAGGTATGAGAGAATGCATAGACCAAGTCCCGCTCACAGCGGGCTCATCGATGACGACATGGAGAAAAAAAACAAAGGGTGCATCAGGAAAAGGCAACAACTCATTCAACACATAAGATCAACACTTTGCAGCTACTCTTCTATTCTGAGTGCATTCATACTTTTATGGTCTCTTACACGCAGGACACGACAACATGACCGTCATTTAAGCACACGTTAAACATTTACACATGCTAACCAGCACACAATGCAAACAAATCACCAGGGGATGAAAAGAAGAGTGCATCATATGATACAAGTGAAGGATGCATGTAAGTTCAAAGGTGTTGTACCCAAATAGAGGATGTGTACTTCTTGTTTATTGAGGTGTTATGACCCTTTAATCAGTTTTCAGTCAGGAACCATCAACTCTCACTACAAGCAGAGGATGCTGATGGTACCGTGTGTGGGAGATAATCCATCTGACATTTCATCATCACACCATGCTTCTGATCTAAAGCGTCCCACAATCTGCCGTCAGACTGACAACGTGTTCACAGGATTTCTTCATCATTCCAGTGGGGGAAAGCAACCGAGGCTGTTTTGGGCGCCAAAGTTTACTTCTGCAGCGCCTCGTGATAAGCTGACCCAAACATCAGCATGCTTACTGCTCTGCACACAGCACCGGCCTATTGAGCAGTGAAGTGTTTGTTATCAATGTGAGATGAATCACATGATGACGGCAAGCAGCAGTAAACGCTGTGAGATGGTCATTCGTGTAAGCAAGGGGGTCTAGCCCATGCCCGTCAAGTTTTCAGTTTGTGGTGACATTGCACACGGTCATCAACCCGCTGTGTGTGTCTGTGTGGCGTGATAACAGAAGAGAAGTTACTTCTGCAGTTTCTAAGATGAATGAGGTGAAAGCAGAACACTGTTTGTCTTTTGTACTCGTTTGAAACATGACAGAGAACGAGGACTTTTCTCTTCAAAGACAAGGACGTCCAAGAGTGAAGAAACAAATAGTTTTCAAACATGTTGAAATGCAGTTACTCGTTTTTTGTTTTTTTTAACAACAAGGGGGCGAGGGGGGAATCAACAAAGAATCACATTTGAGTTTACTGGTCTGTATTTTTATTAGTGTGCACCTATGAAGAGCATGTTCCTGGAAAATCCCTCCACACCGTCTGATTTCCAGAGTAAACTCAGGAGGATTGTCCTTGCCTGTAAAACTAGCCTGGATTCTCAAAGTGAGGGGGCGGGGCGAGATGAGGACGTCGAAGAAAGACAAAGAAAAGTGCTTTAAGAACTCTTTCAAAGAGGATGCACAACACGTTTGCATGTTGCCGTCACAGGTCAGACGAGTGCAGCACAATCACGTTTTGTAGGAATATTTTTTTATATATATCTCTTCGTTTGTTAAAATGTGTTATTTACTTTCAGTTCACAACAACATAGGTCAGTGTTACACAGAGGCTCCTCTTCATTATATACATTCCAGTAGTTCAAAATGGTGGATTATATTCTGGTTTAGTTTGGGAGGGGGGGGGGGGTCAGGATGATTTTAGAAAAGACAACATTAGCAGATCTCACTCTGGTAGATTTCATTAATGCATTCCTGCGTTGCATGGAAACCCTGACGCTTACTCGGGTAGCTGACGACCTTAAGGTCAGTGTGTTTATGTTCTCGATATGTCAAAACATTTACTACGGGGGGGGGGGGGGGGGGGCGGCGCCTGCATGTGCACAGTACCAGTGTACGACTCTACATCTCCACAGAGCTCCTCCTCCTCCTCCTGCAGGCGTGGTGCGTCTTAGTCTGCATCACTTTTTGACACAAGGCACGTTCCTCGCCACCCTTCCATTCATCCTCGTTAAACAAGCCTCCAGCACTGACCGCGGCGCCCTAACTTGAGAGGCTGCATCAGATACCTGGGCTTGTTCCTATCTCTTCTGGTCCTCTAGAGGGATGCAGGGAATATTGCATGATACTAATAACAGATTTTCAAACCTGATCGTCAGCATGGAAGAGAAGTCTCAGACTGGGGGGGGGGGGGGGCCTTAAGTCGTAGGTTATAAGAACTGGAATTATTGTATTTCCCTCTAATTATTAGTATTGTTAGAGGCAGAGTATACGTTAACTTCGGTTCTGTCTTCAGCGCTCTGAATCGGAGCGTCCAGAAGCAGAAATAAACATAACCCAAGGGAGACGAGGATGGAATTAAATTGGAAATAGGGCAACCATTTCTGTGCCACTGCTGATCCCCAAACCAAAGAGAGGGACTTTTTCAATCCTCCTCTCCGTGTCAGATCCTTTGGTTTTAAAACAAAACTGCCAACTTAGTTTCAACAACCCCTCTCGTCTTTAGACGGAGGTCACGGAGCAGTCTCGGTCTTCTTCTGCTGAGCAGGTTGTCGTGCTGACTGCGGCACTCTCATTCTATTTTTTTTCCGGTCTCCGAACAAGGGCAGGGCAACATTTACAGTCTCAGAAGGTGGGCAGCGGGGACTTTAACCGTTCAGGAGGTAGACCACCAGCTCGTAGGTGCACATCATGATGGCGGTGTTGGGGATCTGTCGTACCAGGTGGGTGGTGAGGCCGCGGTAGAGGGCGCGGTAGCCCTCCTCTTTGGGCACTGTTCTTAGAGTCTGGAAGAATGAGTTATACTTGGTGCCCTCCTCCCGTAGCCTGGTGCGGATCACTTCTGCAAAGCGACAACAAACGGTAAAGATTAAAGGAAAATAATTCATGAATGTAAAATAAAATAATCAGCAGATTACAAATCTCAAAGTCTCACCATGAGGATAAGCGATAGATGTGGCACAGGTCTTGGAGGTGGCAGCAGCGAGCATCATACCGACAAAGTCTGAAGCATCTCTCGACGCCTCCTCCTCCTCCTCCATGTTCTGCGTTGCCTTGGCCTCCAAGAGGCGCCGTTTGATGTTTTCATAGATCACAAAGTGGATCACAGTCTCTGAGATACCGGCGTAGGAAGCGGACATACCCCTATAGAAGCCTCGCAGGCCATCTGCCTGGTACACACGCCGCACGCACTCAAACGCACTCATCCTTCGCTCACCTCGATTCCTGAGGAAACACAAGAAATGTATACATATTTATACATTTCAGATCAAACTAAAAAGTTCCTGGTTAGAGGAATAAAGATAACACAGCGACAATAATGCTCATCAACAGAAGCAGTAAAACCTTTTAGCAAAGGAAGTCTCTAAAAACTGTCCAAATGCCTGATGGGATTCTCTTAAGAACCTGAGTTTGCAAAGCACTCTCCAGGTCACATTGCCATATTTACCTTGCATCCAGCTGCAGACGAGTCTTTATGAGCCATATTGGATTTGTAGCCGTGATTGCCGTGAAGCCTGTGGAGGAAAAATAAAGACGGATCACACATTGTTCCAAAGAAAAAAAACACAATCAGCCTAAGTATGAAGGTGACGACTGAACGGTTAACTGTCCACATACACTCACAAACACTGACTGACTAAATGACATGTACGAGTTCTTTAAGCTGCATTCATGTAAAGAATTAATATGTTCTCATAAAATGACAGTAAACATCACAAAAGCAGCTTAGAGAGAGAGTGCTATCCCCTCTACACACTATGCTGTGTGTGCTAGCAGGTCTGAATCATGTGCTAACAGCTGTTAAAAAGTAAACAAATCAAAGACCTGCTTCTTATGCAATGACCGAGATGGTAACAGAGTACTGGAGAGAGAGGCAGACAGAGACAGAGAAGAACCAGAGGTGGAACAAAGAAGAAGCAGAGATCTGTGGTGAGTACTCACGCAGACCCAAGTAACTCCTCACAGATGCAGCTAGAGACCCCTGGTGGTGCGGGGGTCTCATGCCCTTGCGAAAGGAGAGCTATGGTAGAGTTTAAGCCTAAAACAGACACATGCTTGTGTAGCAAAAAAATGACCTGCATGAAACCACTTCACATGACCCCATTATCCCAGAGGATTTAACCCACCGTAATGCAGCCTCAAGTGATGTGATGACAGTAGGAGGGACATGTTGGAAGAATACAGCTCAGGTCTTGTTAATGCAAACAATCCCTTGGTATAAAACACAATTAAACACAGCTATGCATGCTGCTGAAAGTGGACATGCATGTATATTGAGGCCTGACTAGTGCTGGATTTTTTTTGATAGGATAACGAGAGAGGTGTAGAGTAAGTGGCACTATTGTTAGCTGCTGCAGACACTTCCTCCGACCTCTGCTGCAGGTATCATGTATCATCGCACAGGCGAGATTAACCTCCTGCTGTCAACGCCTCATCACCTGTCAGTTCAGCTCAGTCAGGCTTCAGAGGAGGTTGCCAGTGGAGGAAAAATGCTCCTGAAAAAGGTTGACCTTGAATAGGTTTTTAAAAGGGCCTGAGTCACGATCTGCTAAAAGTGGCGCTGTCAGAGTCATACATACTTACATGCAGACACTCGACCTGTAGCTGTACCTGCCTTAATAACCTACATTTTAGAGTTTGCATTCCCATGTGGGGCAGCAACAAGGGGACCGTACATCTTGGAAAAAGAAGAACAAAACAGGTTAAGTTTGTTTTTTCTTTGTTTGAAATGTAAGGACCTCATGAGGTGGGTAGTGTACTTGTTAGGCAAATTCTGTCCAAAAGACAAGGATCTAACACGAGACAAACTGGTTGGGCAGATACTTGCTCTGCACAGAGAGGCCAAGGTCATGACGAAAGCAGCCGTTCAGTCCATTCCTTACACTAACCCGATTCATCACGCTACACAAACGTTCACCTATGCTCACAATGAACTGAAAGTCCACATAGTGACCTGCATATTGAAATTCTCCCTGGATTTCAGTGAGTTACAAGGTCTTACAATGAGGTTATTGTTACTCTGTTGCCTAAAATATTTAATTACCTGCCATTCCAGCCGACACCATGTGTACCTGTGTGGAATCAGGTTCGAACACTCCGTTCAGTCTCTCTTTGGCCATGGAGTACGCAGCAAAGTAGATAGCTCTGTTGGAAGTAAAAGACAGAAATATCAGTCTGTGTCACGTTATAAAAATACAGATTGTTGTGTCCCAAGTTAAGAAAATGCTTATTAATTATTTTAAATCTACAAATAAAACTGTCCCGGGTCAGGGTTACCTTAATGAGCTTTAAATGTCACATATTCTCCTCCTCTTCAACCAGTTTAAATAAGTCTCAGAGCTCCTCAAAACATGTGAAGTTTCTGGTTCTAAATCCACTCTGATCCTGTATTTGATCATGTCTATAAACTCCTCTATTTCAGCCCTGCTCAGCACAGGCAGTTTCTGTGTCTGTACCTTTAAATGTAAATGAGCTGTGTCTGACCACGCCCCCTCTCTGGAAGGGCTCGGGTGTACTCGGGCTTTCTCGCGCCATGTCCTATTGTTTACGGTGAGAAGGCAGACTCAGAGGGCAGAACAAACACCTAGCTGTGGGAGTGTAACCCACCTGCCCTATGTGATGTCATGAAGGGAAAATCTACAAACGGCCTGTTTGAGCACACATTTTCTGAAAAGTGGAGCAGGCTAAAGACGGAGAGGATAGACTTTTGTCATCATTGGGGGGTTTGAAGACAAACTAGAGACATATATTAGTGTTAGAAAAACATGGTGAAGTGGATTTTACAAATTATGTGTTCGACAAAGAGGCTATTGAGCATAAAAAGTACACTCGACTCTGACTGTGAACACACTTGTGGCTCAAAAACAAGACATGTTTTTCCTTTAAAAGCACAAAGTGCAGTCTGCAGATTTACTTTTACCCCCATGTGTTGCTGGAACTCATCAGTCTAATGATGGGCCGGTGTTTATCTGTGTGCATTCACCTTTAAATCAGACACACAGCTCAGGAGGCTGACTTTCATTCACTCATGTAAGCGGCTTCAAAACACTTTACACACTCTTAGCACTGGGACTCACTTTCTGCCGCATGAGTGGCTGACCACAGCCATTAGCCCTGACTCTTCTCATCATTACAGCAGACGGTAATGACTGCTATATGTTATTACATAACTGCAATCACGAAAATACCTGGTTTCCTGCCTTGTTTTAGAGCTGGAGACAGCCAAGATGAATGACAACAAATTTAAAATAAATCTCTAATGCCTCATCAGTGTTTCCCACAGAATGACGCTGTACTTTACACTGGTTTCAGCATCTTTAAGAGTTAATTTTGATGCCAGACTTGAAAACCAAACTTGGATCCTTGTGCATAACGGCTCAGGACCGTCGCCACACATTTGGAAACGCTTACAGCCCCGAACTGGTTATATTAATAATAGTCATTTAAAGTGATATTTACAGTCTTTATTTACAGATCATTTATTTACATGTGACATCTCTCAAAAGTACTGCGGCATGGTTATCACATAATCTCTGCAGACCTTTTTTTATCTCCACTCTTAGCTGTGTGTGGATGTTAGTGCCAGTGTTTGTGAATCAGACACTTGTTTTGCAATGAGGCTGATTTGCACAGAAAAGGAGGTATTATTCAAATAACTTTGTGATGTGACATTTAAATATGTGCAATCAGCACGCATTCACAGAGACGCTGTTTGCTGTGCAGCGCAGTTCAGGGTGCTTTTAACTAATTGTGCGTGTTTTGTGAATCAGACAAACGTCAGCTGCAGCTGCAGAAAAATATGAAAACGAAAACATTAGAAGATTCTGTTTTCGAATGAGATGTCGCACCTCAATCGGTGCATTAACAGTGGGGACGTACAAGCTGACTCTCTCTCGTGAAAATACACTTTGCTGCCCGTCTAGGTATCGTCTGTGTAGGAAACACTGCACCGAGTGACTTTGAGAAGCCCTGTGGTGCTTAAAACCACGGCTTCACACAGCCATGTGTCCTTGGAAAATGTGTCAATAACTCACCTAGAAATAGTACAACGCATGAATCAGACACCATATGATTAAGAAGAGTTTACAGCAGATTTATAACAGGATCACTGCCTGGTTTAATAAATGTTAGATACATACATTTCTATGGTATGTTCTGATGTGCACAAAGCATTACAAATGTTTTTTTTTACATTTCATGGTGATCATTTCCCTCCCAGTATCAGAGCCCTGCAGACTGTTCTCAGGAGAGACGGTCTTACGTCGTGATTCAGAACACTAAAGATGGCTGTCCAGTTTATTTTTGCATTCATGAGATTTCTGACACTGTTGTAACATTTTTGACGCAGTGGTACAGGTGCATGGTCATGACCTGATTGTGAATATCATCTTATCATTTTCTTTTTACTTCAGAAAATAACGAAACAATAAAAATGATGGTGCATTAGGGTTGGTGTGATGTACTGCCAGGGTGTGGTGCGGCTGAGGACTCTGGAAGCGGACGCTTGGGATATGAAAAACATCACTTACTGCATATAAATGACAGCTTACCTGGAAGGTGCCACGCCCACCAAGTTTGGTCCCAAGCCCCTGAATAGAGAACGAGGTCCTTCCTTCTCCAATATCAACCTAAAAGTAAAAAAACAAACACGGTAACAGAGACATATGAGTTAGAGGTTAAGCGGCGAATGTGCAGGTCACCTTATTGTAAGCTCTCATACACACACACACAAAGATATGCACACCATCATGCACATCCATGACATGATATCAAAAATCTAAATTGGGTCTAAGGGACACAAGTCAGATTGTAGAATTTCTAAGTTAAACTATGCAGCTTTAATGACTCCTCAGAGGAATGATTGTGTGAATATTCAAATCATACACAGCCAAGTCACTTTCAACCAGTTTAAATAAGTCTCAGAGCTCCTCAAAACATGTGTGTAAAGTTTCTTGTTCTAAATCCACTCTGATCCTGTATTTGATCATGTCTATAAACCCCTCTATTTCAGCCCTGATCAGAACAGGCTGTTTCTGTGTCTGTACCTTTAAATGCAAAATTAAATTAAATCCTTACTGATACTTTCACACAAATTAACTTCCTGATGATAAATTAAGTTTCTCTCTGACATCAAAGTTACTTCTTAGTCGATTTATTACCTCAATAAACACTTTACACACTTGCCAATTTAAAGTACATTCAAACTCATTTAGGAAATGAAAGTCCCATCTTGAGTTCTGTGGATGACGAGGCATGGTATGCTTTAAGGCGGGGCTACCTGTGATTGAAAAGTCACGACATCAGCAGACAGTCAATCAGGATAGAGATGTAACGATGTACATTCAACCCGTTGTCCAAATATGGTTGCTTCGGGTTCCAGAAAACAAAGTTTGATTTGTGAACAACTTGGGACCTTAATGGTGGTTACCTTCACTTCTTTTACACAGTAACATTTTGGTTTAAGAGGAAAACAAGCTGTGTCTGCGTCACAGTTGTTTTCTTATGTGGTGTTGACGCCAGGAAATGAAAAGACCCGAATTAGCCAAAGGGCCTTTTAGCATTTGGCTGCAGCACCGTCTGTATGTGACAGCAGTCTTAAAATACGCCATGATTGATTTAAGTAGGATAATGAAGCCAGCATACTGAACAAGGCGTCTTCTGCCACACTGACTGGGACTTTATTGAAGTGTAACTTCGCTCCATGAAGCTGACAAGTGGCGAGGTGCCACCAAACACACTTTCCCAGAGGCTCCGAGCAGACATGACCTCTTTAGAAGAGACCAGGACATTCTTTTGATTATGGAGCAGTTCGTGTTCCCTCAAACATCACACCTGGCAATCTACCAAAACTAAACAGGCCGAGCTCGACAAAGCGGATACTGAAATAGGAAAAGGCTCCAGGTGTTGAGGAATGAAAAATCTCACAAAAAATGAAGTAACAATAGTTGGATTTGTTCTCAAATGTCCTGCTTGGCTACAGTGACTGATATTCGCTCTGAGCATAGTTTTCCAAAGGCTGTGAATTTGTGTTTGAGGGAGGGGTTGGCTTTGCCCAGGAGGAACATCAGCCAGATCAAACAACGTGAGCAACAACATGGGGTTTGCCGAGAACTGGTTCAGTCTGCAAAAGTCTGGGAGAGCAGAGGGGGAGGAGGAAATGTGATCTGAACAGCGCCACACATTTCAGGATAAAAACCTGAGTCTCATCATAAACAATGAGTGTTTGTTAAGTGAGGTGTAAAACTCTATTTTTACAAGACATTCAATAACAACTGATAATGGTTGATAGCATAAATAAGGTACATGATTGGTGACGAGTATCTATACCAGTGGAAGAGGTGAAATCTGTTTGAGCTGTAAATCAGCTGGACGATGAATAACACTGAGTACTTACTTGAGACAGTGCAGGGGGCCTGGCGGGGACATGCGGGCAACACTTGGCCCGTTGACAGTACTGAGCTGGACCTCAGACACATAGAGGGTGATGGTGGATGACTGTAGACGAGTCTTCACTACTTCCAGTGGACAGGTCAATATGGCTCCTACCGTGCCCCCACATCTGGCAGAACAGCAGACATGAAAAAAGGTGAGGATGACAGGACAGAAATTCCAATGTCTGAAACAGAGTATCCTACAATTCTACAAGTCACTTATCAGACGCTTTTATCCACAGCGACGAACATCAGAGAGTAAGAACAACACAAGCAAGGATCTAGAGAGGAGGAAACAATGTCAGGAAATGCAAACAAACAGCTTTAAGTCTGACTGGACACACAGGTGCTGACAGGAAGTGACCAGAGGCAGGGCACAGGTGTGACAGGAAGTGACCAGAGGCAGAGCACAGGTGCTGACAGGAAGTGACCACAGGCAAAGCACAGGTGCTGACAGGAAGTGACCACAGGCAAAGCACAGGTGCTGACAGGAAGTGACCACAGGCAGAGCGCCACATCGACAGCTGTTCTTGAGAGTTCTTATCAGCATCAAAACCATCCTAAATATCGCCATCGTCATGATCGAACCAAACATCATCATTGTCACCATCGATATCATTAAGTGTGTAGGTGTTGGAGTCTTTAGTCTTTTCTTAAAGGTGCAAAGCAACTCAACAGATTGTATGGAGTTTGGGAATTTGTTGCCCCACCGGGGGGTGACAGAGGAGAAGAGTGTAGTTAGTGTCTTAGGACCCTGTTGTGAAGGTTGGATCAGACGCCTTTCATAGGCAGAGCGTAGAGGGCAGGAGGGAGTGTAGACCTGGTTAAGTTTAGGTAAGGAGGAGCCGTTTTTAGGCTGTTTTGTAAGCGAGCAGCGGGGTTGTGAATCTGATGTGAGCCAGTGTAAGGAGATGAACAGCGGAGTGACATGCTGTCTTGGGGAGGTTGAAGACAAGTCGCTCTGCTGTGTTTTGAATCATCTTCAGGGTTTTGATAGTGCATGCAGGAAGACCTGCCAGGAGTCGACAACCGTCACAATGTTTAGAATCTGCACGTTGTTCATTATCTTCTATTAATAAATTAGCCAATGGCGTGTTGAAGGAAATTTCAACTATTCCTGGCATGCATGAAAAGAAATAGCACAGTGTGGGAACAGAGAGACGGTGAGGAATGTTTTGTGTTTCTTGGGGGATAACAGCAAGCTCCTGTTCGGTGCCATGCCAAATTCCAACCTCGCATATGTTTCTACGTATCGTCTTATACGAAATATGAGTCAGCTGCACTTGTTTTCAACAGCATGGATGCCCTTATTTTGCAAGCTGACCATTAAAATCCTTAAACTGATTGTATGATAAAAGAAAGACAACTGTTGACAACTGTGACTTATTAACAAATCATTTAAATGTGTACACCTGAACAAAAACACACATGTAGGAGCCAAACTCCTACCAAAATATTTACTTTACACCCACTGCAAATAATACCCGACATCGAGGGCATCTATTTATGGCGAGTTCAGGTTTTTCAGGACAGTCAACTGCACGGGTAACAAATGCCAGACTGATAAGATAGAACACAAAAACAACATCTAATTGGACATAATAAATAAACGGAACCTGACTGAACTGTATTTGCAGAGCAGGGTCAGACTCGAGGATATGAAAACAAAGCAAGAGAGACGGTCGTTATTTTTAGTTTGGGTTAATTTTCAATCAGCACCAAAGCAGAAATAGAAAGTCCTGTCAGCATAGTTGTTGGCAGAGGACGGCCGATCGATGTCAGGTGATTACTGCACAAACCACAGACAAGGCGAAACACGGGCATAGGAAGAGAATACATTTAAAATGACAGTAAAGTAACTGAAGGCCTAAATGTCAAGGATCATTAGCCTAGACACTTAAAATATATCACTAGAAATCTCCATGCACGTACACTCAGTCACCCTTTCTAATCTTAATTTTGGCATGAGTCTGTCCAAACACAGGTAGTATATTTCTTGTGTTATTTCCCCGAGTCTGTATGCACACAGTCAGTGTTGCTCTGTATAGCAATACCAGAGAAGTAGCGCGGTACCCATACGCTAACGTTCCGATGCTAGTTTTGCCGACTGCCCACGGCTTGTTGACAAAGCAGACGCACGGAGAGCGATATATGGCTTCACCAACACTCAGGGTCACCACAAAGCACGGTCTGTAAAAAGATGTTTCAAACCAACGGTGACCAGGAGGGCAAAAGCGTCAAATTGTGTGAAGCATCTCGCCGGCAGACATGCTGACTTGTTTAAGGAATTCTAAGATCGACAGGTTGTTTAGTGGATGTGATAAATAACATGATTACATGCCCTCATACGTGCATACAGCGCAGAGAGGAGGTGTGCTCGGCGGTTTGTGTTCAGTCTACTTGAGTGCAGCTCAGTGCTGTAGTGTGCAGGATATTAAACCATGGAAGCAAACATTCTTATCATTTATAAATCTCTCTCTCACGCCACAGGGAACACAAACTGGTGCTAGTAAAATCTGCACCCAGGCCCAGCCAGTGGAGTTAGCCATCCCTTCCAGCTGTGTTTGAAAACAACAGAAAGTCTCACAAAGACTCATGAGATGCAAAAAGACTGGACAGAGTAAAAACATTGATTCATCAATGAATAGCAATTTTAGATCAATTCAGATAATCCTGAACTCGATGATTGTGCTGTCAAAACCTAATGCACCTTCAAAGTCTAATTATAGGTGCACTGTTTAAAAAAGCACAGTCAAACAAAGAGGAAGGATTTGTGTATAAATGTACCCTACACACCCTTTACTTTTTTGTAACATACTCTAATAATCCTTGAGGGAGATTCTGGTTTTGAGACATGCTTCTCACACACACGTGCACAAACAGGACCTGTGGACATGCATTCATCTAGAGATGTCAGTGTGAGGCTGCTACACACTGCTGCACAGGAAGCGCACTGTTTTGGGTCCGGTGCCTTGCTCGAGGACACCCCGGCAGTACTTATGAAGTAACCAGGCACCTATCCAGCAACCAGACCAACTTCCATACTTTGATCGACACCTGGACTTGGGCTGGGAACCGGCGACCCTGCAGTTCCCCTAAATACTGAGCTACTGCCTCTCCAATAATTATTTAACAAATATCACAAGGTACTGTAATGTTCTGGGTATTTCTGTCATCTGTGAGCATTACTGAATCGATGTTAAAGCCAAAGAATACAAATCTAATTGAATTGTGAGGTACAAAACCCATCCCTTAGAACAGAGCAGAGAGTTTATTTCTGCGATAATAATGTTAATAATTTAGAATAAAACAGCTCAAATGTCTTACCCTCTCTCCTCTGTTGTTACTTTTTTTAAAGACCTTTATTACTGTCATGTGAGGACTTTTGTCTAATATATAGTTTCATTACTTTTTCCTAGTGTTTTAGACTTTTGCCGTGGTATCACTTCAGTATCGGTAACAAAATTATTTTGGGCATGTATATCGTCATAATCAAAGTAATCATTTTGGTATCATGACAACACAATGTGCAGTCTGACTTTTAACTGTTGAATCACAATCTTTCTATAACAGTTTGACGCTGCATTTATTTCAAACCTGAGCTGAATTTATACATTTCTCACCCAGCTTCTGGACACCAACTATGTAGTTGCCTTGGACTATAGTTTGTTGGCAAGATCTGCTCCTCTCCTGTGGCTAATGTTAATTTCATAATGAAGCTCTACTCCTTCAAGTCAAGCAGTGGGACTTGTGGGCTGTTTTAACATCCACTGGACGGGCCACTTGAAAAAAAAACACAAGGAGGTTTAAGAGTAATACTCAGTGGTGGTGTGCAGGGTATATGCAGATATATGGAGTAGTCCCACTTATTTTTCAGGTTCCATAAGGCATAGCCACTTCAAAATCACAACAACAGGGATTTTCTCTCTTTTTTTGGGAGCAGGGAATATAATGTATGGTTGCTTATTTGAAAATGTAACTAAATAACTGATTACTTGAACTGCAATGTTTCATTCATGTGTCATGAATCTTGTTGCAACAAAAAAGTAACACTTGTACATTCCTTTGAAACGCATTTCCCCTAACACTGTTTCGAAATATGTCCCAGCCTGTAGTTTGTTGGGCAGTTATCTTCTATCTCTATGGATCATTACTCCCTCAAGTGAAGCAGTGGAAGCTGAGTGTCAATGTGCAGATACAAAATGTGATATGCAAGAGTAGTCTTACATGTCACTGTTCATAATAAAGGATTTTTATTCTCAGCTGGACAGGTCACTTAAAATAAATTGGGGGAAAAACTAAGAGTGTATGGACTTGTTCAGACACCACTACACCACAGGAAGTCTCTAATGTGAAGCTGTATATGTCCTATTAAAGATCACTGAAGATGACTGAAGAGTCGCAAATAGTTAAAACAAAACGCCAGCAGTTTTAATCGGAATACACTTTTGTAATGTCATTAACTTGTGACATTGAGCCCAACTCCTACGGGTACACGTATGCGGGCAAAAAGAGTAAGCTGACATATGTCACACTGCCGCTAACACGGATCTTGATGTAAAAAAATAATCATGCCGACAACCAGAATCGCCCCCATATATAATTAACACACCAAAACAAACAACCAATTACGTGTAGCTGTTACATTACTAGCTAACCTAGCATGCTGTGCTCCTGTGCGTAGCTAGGCGACATGAGAATATAACACTCACCCTCCAGCAAACAGATGAACTAAGGTGTCTCTTTGACTCATTCTGGATCATATTCGGGAACCGTCCACTGGTCACCAACACGGGGGACGTGAAGAAAACAGAGTGGGGATGAGGGGGGGGGGGAACGACCCCCGACCTAGTGTAGTCTGTGTGTTGTGGTGGAGGTCAGCTGCGTGGAAAACCGAAGCTAACTTGGCTAGCTGACGTTAGCAACCAGAGCTAACGGCTTTCCGCTGGTAAAGGTCGACGTCAGAGCGGCAGGTTTGCGTCTCCTTCAGAAGCGGGTTAAAGCTTCACCGTACAGGGTGTTTAACAATGCTGAGTAATTCCAGTCTTACAGTTATATCAGCGACAGTGGAAAGAAAGTTCCCGGCCCCCTTTCACGTTGAAGTGCCTCTTCTCACTGAGCGCCTCAGGGGTCAGGTCGTAATGTATATCGTCGAATGGGAAGCCGCAAAACAGAGGCGCTGATTGGCTGGCAGGGCCAATACACCCGCCCCCGTCTTTGCCTTTTTTTTTTTTTTTTTTTTTTCCACGTGATTTCCACGCTTTTATTTTGAAGGGCATTATTTTGTATGCGATAGGTTTGAGGTCAAATTCCAATCTGTTTTTAATGTTTGGTTCATTTACAGTTGTAATTATAAAAATAATAAATCTCCTTTAAATAAAATCTCAGAGTGCTATTTTTTTTAATACTTTATTAATCCCTGAGGGAAATTCAGTTTTACACTCTGTTATTTTAGAGACATGCTTCTCACAAACATAGGCTCGCATCACACATGCAGGGTCTGTTGACATGCATTAGTGGAGAGATGTCAGAGTGGGGCTGCTGCACAGGGAGCGCACCAGAGCGGATGGGCATTCAGTGCCTTGCTCAAGGGCACCTCGGCAGTACTCAGAAAGTGCCCTGGCACCTCTCCAACTACCAGACCAACTTCTGACTTTGGGAGCCACTGCCAAAGTAGGGGTCTGGACCCTCTTAGGGGGTCGTACGACAGTGAGAGAGGAGTCTCAACATGATTTTAAAAAAGCATATTCATGAATGGGAAACAGTAAATAGTACCTGTGCATTTAACTTGCTGAGCTACTTGTTGCTCAGCAAGTTGTATACACTGCACGTGTTGTATTTGTGATGGCCTGCAGCTTTGGTGATGCTTGCACTAAACATTTGCACAGTTAACAAAGATCTGAAAGTGATTGGCTGAAGGATTTGCACAATTTACTAAACACACACCTAGTTTTGTTTTCAATAAGCTTTGGACAAAAGGGGTCCACAATTTTTATTCCAGTGAGGGATCTAAAAATAATTTAACAACCTGCTCTCCTATTGGGCTGATCGTGTCTCCATTGTGGTGTCCTAAACATTTGGTTACGCAACATTGGCTAACTGCAGGAAAAACTTTCACATTTCTAAGTTCAGTGGCCATTGATAAACATATTTACACAGTACCCTCTTTCATTGATTGGTTTTATGTAATACAGCTGGACTGGGAAGCAGTCATTAAAAGAAAGAACTGGTTGCTTGAAAATAGCCCCTGAGCTCCTGTATGATATGATAGGATTGGACATCGAGCAAAAGGAGTTGCTATCCGCAGACTGATCTGACCTCAACTTATTTTTGTAAATGTGACCTAAATATTTTTTATTTCACACAGAGTTTCTTTGTGCATTTAGCTGTATGTTTGTGGCTGTGTGTGTGTGTGTGTGTGTGTGTGTGTGCACGAGGAAAATAAAAAAAGAGGGAGGTGAACTGAGGCTTGGGACTCCAGTGTATGCACAGAAAATTAAGTTTTCTAATTCGCTCAGCAGAATAAAAGCCTCACGGCACTTAATTTCATAATTACAAATGCAATTTAGCCAGACCAGATCATGTGCCACAGTTTCTCATGTAGCCTAATCGTGTTACTGTCTGACTGCACGGAAGGCAAAGAGGGCACCAGAGCGTGTCTTCTGCTCTCTTCTGGGATTTATTGGTTGCATACAAACTTCAATAGTACAGTCATGTTTTTTTTTTGTCCCTTCTACTCTAAACTTACTTCAGACATGTCTGTCCTTGCTGCAGCACTCTCACGATGCTAAATAACCTCTTGGTTTTGAGACTGATGTGTAGCTTCATCTAGCTTGTCCAACGATAGCATGCAAACTAAAGACTAATGTCTGTTTAGCCAATATTCTCTGCATACTTCCTAATGCATCCAATGTACGAGCCGTGTTCTTATGATGATGGCGCACAGTGAGGTTGTTTAACTGGATTGTCGGAGGATGTGACCTCGACTAGGCCTGCTCTCAGGGTAAGGGTCTTCTTAGGGAGTACCGGTGTTGGTTGGCATATAGTGCATAATGCTTCCCCGGGTCTTAGCATTGTGACTCTCTAGCCCTGTTCAGGGTCGTTTTCAAGTCGCTATGTACGCCCCTGTGATGTTTCGCCTTCAATCTGAATGTCGCTAAGGCATTATGGGGGAATGAAGTGATCCCCCCCCCCCCGACCCGTACTGTCTTGGGAGGTAGTAACAGAGATGTTACAGAGGTGAGGCAAGATCAGCAAAGCCTGCAGGGGAGCGCAGCGCTGTGTGTGTGTGTGTGTGTGTGGAGCTCTGCTGTGCCGTGCTCCTGCAACCCTGAAACACACAATTTGAATTCACAGACTCGGACACCAAAAAATCAATATGAATGTACAAAGACGTGATGATGGCTGAGCTTAGTTACGTCACTTTTATGAAAAAGGCAGTCTGAAAAGGGCTGATATAGGGAGAGATTCATGTGATGACATGTCCATCGTGCTGTAACTACGTTTGTTGGGTCAGTTCTACCAAAACGTCTGACCTCGTGGGGAGGCTTGGTACCCAAGAACGTGTCCACACAGGAGCTATTTCTTCTGTGTGGGTGTAGCATGTCATGTTAGGTGTGTATGAAGTATGTAATATAAGTCAGTAGTAGAAGTGTGCCGTGGTGTGACTGCTCAAACTTAGCTTCCAAGGTTTACGGGGTCCTTAAGGGGGACTCCAGACTTTGTGGTGTTATTGATTTCAGTCAGAAAATGATTTCTAAAAAGTTTCCGAAAATGTATTAAAAAGTTTCAAACGATTATCCAAATGCAAATACAAAACTATAAAAATATAAAAAATGTAAAAAGAAAAGCAAAACACAAAGACAAAAGTCTAAACCCGAGAGTGTAGACACAGGTTTTAAAAGATCTTGGTCTCAGAGACTAAGTCCCAAAATGGGGATTCAAAAGTCAGAGTGACGTGGATTCATTTAGCAAAGCAAAAAAGAACCTCGATCAGATTTTCTACAGGGTTTTTATAGCCAAAAAGTCTCTTTTTTTCAAGATCCTGTAAAACCTCAACAATGCACTTTCGCAAAAAACGTGATACATCCACATACCTAGTTCAACCAAGTTCATAACACAGGTGATACTAAATTCATATGTGGTTTTAGCTTGAAGACCGTGAACCGAACAGATACGCAGAAACATCATACGCCTACGAGCTCGTATGTGGTTTTGCATGTATGGCACACTTATCCTGACCTCACAGGTGCGTGGGCACCGCGAGTGTGTAAGTTTGACAGGAAATATAAAAGCAGAATAAAAAAGTTCTGACATATGATTTAAATGATAATAAAATAAAAAGTAAATATATGAAATAAATGATAAATTGATTAAATGACAATAAAAGAAAAAGATAAAAACAAATTCAACAATTGCATCACTCTTTCTGATCTTTCAACAGTGGGAATTTGCAATAAAGATATAATTAGTTCTTTTTTTTAGAGAAAAGACCTTATGAACTTCAGGTATACGAGCAGACAGTTAAAGAAAGTACATTTTCAGTTGTGTTTGTTTTCTCTGTTTATCCAGAAGTCCACATCTCGGTGTCTTCCATGCAGGTTCGTCTGCAAACAGTCAAATAAAAATGTAAGTTTGAACTTTGAGAGCAAACACTTTTGTCGGCCTGTGAGCACAAACATGGGGACAGCCAACATTTTGCAGCCTAAACATGTTTTGGATGATGTGGACATACTTGAATTATAAGAATAGGTTTGTCTGTTACTTTTACTATTTTTATTTAACCTTTAATATCCAGGAGAAAGAACCAATTGAGATTGAAAATATCTCTTTCAAGAGCGTCCTGGCCAAGACAGACAGCAGCACACTCAACAGAGTTTCCAACTGGCAGCCATTCAAACATATGAGACCCCTGAACACCTTGAAAGACATGGAATAGCAAGAAAGGCATCAAATATTTGTCAAGATCGACTACAGTCATAAATATATATCAAGGAGAACATCTGCAGCCGGATGTGTCCGCCTCCAAGTCATTTAGCGTCCTCTTAAAATCGTCCAATGAGAGCAGCTCGTTAGGTTTCAGCTCTTTTTGTCAATCGTTCTGAGCAAGGGGAGCAGCAAACTTCAATGCCCTTAACCCCAGTTCAGTTCAGACTTTATTAAAAAGTGCACGTGTGACTGAACGAGGTCAGATGTCATGAAGGAAGCAGACCGTCCATTAATATTTACAGTCTATGATGTGCACCTGTAAATAGCCACCTACCATGTTTAAATCTTTGAATATAGAGTTGTAGGGACTTGCATTGTTTTCAGTGTTCCTAGAATAAAAAGCCTTAATTGTGTTGGCTTTAAATAAAATAAAGATTTATCATAAACAATCAACACATCAGCAGAGGCAGCACTGCACATGTGAACCACTTGTAAACACAGCTGGTGAGGCGTGTGTCTCCCTCGGAGTGACCACCACACACAGCTTCCTGTCCCATCTATATTAGGGGGAGCCGATGAATGTGTGGTTGTGTGGCTGTGTGGCTGTGTGGCTGTGTGGCTTTGCGGCGACCATATTAGGGTGCTCCCTTATATAGGAAATTGATTTGGGGAATCCCTCACTGTGAAGTAATCACTGACAGGTTGTATCGGTCACAGACGCCATATTAGGGGATTTATACGCCGCAGAGGCCGGCTGTAATATTCTGGATGTGCGGCTATAATGACACATTTTTGGCTATTTGATTTGTCAGTTTATATTATCATTACTAAGAGGAGTGTCTTAAAATGTGGGCAGAAAACCAAAGACTCTAAATGTCATGGAGTGCGCGATGTGAAAAAACAACACGTGTATGCTTTACTTTGAATCTCTCTGTTTGGTTGCAGGAGGGAGCAAAATAACTTTGAAGCATTTTCTTGGAGCCTTGGTTGGGTCAACACAGAATCAATGATCTACCACTGTTTGTCCATCTGGGGCGTCTGGATGATTTATCGTGTTGATAAAGACATCAGAAGCTCCGACCGCTCACCGGTTGAGTTTCTAAAGAGAACCTTTTCCACGTGTGTTTTTTTGTAGTCAACATACAGCCGTCTGAAAACTTGAACAAGTGTGTTTCACTGATGAGGAAGTATCAACGCATACTTTTGTGCGCGAGGGAAATCTACAGGCAAACAGGCTATGAGTTAAAGTTTAACAGCTTTGAGGTCACTTGCACTTGCATGCAGTCATCACAGACACTCACACTCTGTTCACGTGTACACTGGCACCCTTACGACACCCACTCACCACCCATTTGTATTTACTTGATTCTGTCCTTATTTCGCTTCTTCAGTGGATCAACATAAACTCCCTGACATTGCCAACAGAAAAAACTTTCCATTTGTATTTTGCATCTGAAAAAAAAAAACATGTGCAGAGTTGACTTTGTGTCTTCAGGAGCTACAACAAAATTAGAACGTTTTGATAAAAGATCACAAATGTGAGATCCTCAGTGTGATTTGGAAAATACCCCAGTATGCATCAGACCAGTCTCCTTTACATACTCCTGTTTCCCACAATGCAAAGCACCAAGACAGAGATGGAAATGGCGTAACAGAGGAAATCATCACAATCAGGCCAAACCACACAAAGATACCACCAGTAAGTGATAAGTGAGTGCACCATTAAAGGCAGAGTTGGTCATTTTCTAAAACTAGCATGATTTTGAAAGTAGCATTCCCTCAATGCTCCGTCTACACTTCCCCCTCTCTGTACTCCCTCTAAAGCCACGCCCCCTCACTTACATGCACGAGCACCGTGGCTCCAGAAGTGGACCTCAGCTCATCTCTTACATTGTGTAGAAACTACGTTGTCTCATGTCTCATTCAGCGGTGAGTAAACTCTCAGTATAAACTCCTAAAGTCATCGGTGACGCTCTTTGAGTGTGGGCTAGAGCACGCAAGAGCAGGGAGACAGGGAGGCGTCTGATTGGTTCATCAGATTGGTACCTCATGGCAGACATTGGTTGAAGTTTTTACAGACTTACAAACTGCTACAGATGACGGATTTTCCTCTTTCCATTTTCAGAGAACGTCACTTATTAATTTCTGTCAGGGCCTAAAAACAATTTCAACCAAAATCTTAAAAAGTGGATCTGGAGAAAATGACCAACCCTGCTTTTGACACTACTCGTCCATAAAGAAAATCTTTAGTTAGGGCAGCCCTAATGTTATACTTCAATTAGCTAATTAACACACATCACAAAACCTCAGGTGGGACTGATGGGCATTCCTTTTGTCTTTGGTGGTGATCCAAAGGATTGATATGAGGGTTCATTCAAAAGAAGAGACAGGGAATTGTTATGAAGCTAGTTTGGAAAACGTATAGACGGTCTTAGAGAAGCTGTTTCAAACGTTGTGGTCTTGCCGTCATTTTACTTCAGTAATGAACTAAACGTCCAACATTCCTCTGTTTCAATGAAAGAATAACAAGAAAGTTATACGATTCCCTTCATTCAAAAAGAAACACTACAGGCTGTCAGGATGGAGGCAGACCAGAGTCCTGTGACTTCCACAAACACACACGAACCACATATCAGGCTGCCGAGCATTATTTGGATTTTTGTTTAAATTAAATGATTAAGCATGAGCATTGGCTGCACTTCCATTTGAATACATAAAGGGCACGTTTACCAACACAGATGTTTCACAACCTCTAATGTTGAACTCTATACATTTACAGCTGATGTCGTTAACATAGCAATATAAATATACACACACACCCATAAACACAAGCATGCCTTTCCCAATCACCAGCAGCATCCCAGTCATCCCTGTCCCATGACTCCTATTGGTGCAGAGTCGAGTGAGGAGGTCACGTTAAGTGGTTGCACGTTCAGCAGCTCGGCTCATATGACTGCCGTACCTTCAGATATTACTGCTGCAGAGAAGCAGGGTCACAGGGTCATCTGGCCCCTGAAAAGGCGTGAATGGGCTCTCTCGGGATATGTTTTAAATCAACGTACACTCAGTAGTGTTAGCGGTGTGCTAGCCTCTTGGCTAATGTTAGCTTCCTCTGTGCCCAAAACAGAGTACATCTCACTGAAACAACAATAAATAAAATGTGTTTTTGTGTTGCTTAAAGAGGTGTTGTAGTGAAGACGACACTAACTGAGATCAAGACATACCTGAGACCAGCGTAGTCCGAGACCCAGACAAGACCAAGACATTTAGGGATCAAGACTGAGGCCAGACCAAGACCAAGACCAAGACCAAGACCAAGACCGAGACCGAGACCGAGACCAAGACCAAGGCCGAGGCTAGACCGAGACCGAGACCGAGACCGAGACCGAGACCAAGACCAAGACTGAGACCAAGACCATAAATATCTCTGAAAAATCATAAACTTGTGTGTAGCAGGCGTGTCACTCACAGTGGGAAGGTTGCGGACGTAAAAATCACTACAAAACTACAAATGAATTGAAGAGTCCAAGACCTTCAAAAAGTGGTCTCAAGATCGGTCTTGAGACCAAGATCAATGGTGATTACTACAACACTACTTAAGAGGTAATGATGAGTATTTAGGTGTAAAATAAAATGTGGTAATTGTTGCTTAAAATTAGGATTGACCTTGTTTTTGCTAACCTCCATGCCCCCCCCCCCCCATGGGACAGGGCTCCAGAAACCTTCCCCTTTATCCCCCCTTATGGGCAGCCTTTGCATGACATGAAGAATTGCAGCGCCTCATCTGTGATCAACCAGGTGAGCTGACTAAGACTGCATTGAGAGTCAGCGTGTTGGCCTCACTGAGAAACCATTACAAGCGTTTGAGTCATGTCTCAGTGTCTACTTGCTCCGGCTGTGTGAGTGTGAGTAAACTCTCTCTGCTAACCACATGAGCAGACAGTTGTGTGCTGCCTGCAGGCGGGATGACACTGATTAGTGACAACCAGACGGCAGCACTACGGGGCTGACAGCACAAGTCTGAAGGGGAGCAGGCTGTTCACTGTGCACCGCTCATCTCATTTTACAGATCACAAATTTAAAAGCTGCACATTTGTAAAAACGAAAAGACTGTAAGAAAACTTCCATAGAATCAGCAGTTAGACAGAATTTTCCCTGCAGTGTTTTATTGTGAGAAAGGCTAAAGTAGAACACAAGTCATCTCCATATAGACTGAGTGGACACACACAACTTAATAAACAGACACACAGGTAATGTCTGTGTGTGCGTTTTTGTGTGTAAAGAAACACAAACCTACATTGTTGCCGTCATGTGCAAACTGAAATTTTCAGGATTTCTTTCATGCTTTCATTTTAGCACAAATCTCAGTAATGATTTTTTAAATCTGGATGAATCGCTAAAATTCAATAGTCATTATTGATTAATCACTCTTTTAATCACACGTTTGAAATTCCATTATTTCTCATTAAAAAATGTAATTTGTTAGGCTTTTATTTTGAATTTTTGTACCGTCTTAAGCCAAGTGTACAAATTAGCATCTCATTTTTTCCCACAAGGGTTTGAGATTACATTTGTAATTTCTGAAAGCGTCCTGCACCCCTCTCTTCTTGTCTAGCGACCCCCCCAGGAGGTCCCGTCCCCCACTATAGGAAGTACTGGTCTACAGGTAAGGGACATGGTAAAGTAACCTATAGCACTGAGTCAAATAGAGACAAAAAAGCCAGTGGGTTTAATATATTTTATCCAAATTTCAAAGAATTTAGAATTATGTCAACCACTGTGGACAGAAACAGAAGTTATATTTACTTCTGTAGTCTCCTCTTTAATTAGCCTAAAATAATGAAAACCACGTGTGTATTTGTGTCCTCATTTACAATAAAATGCATTTCAAAACAACATATATTGTTGGGAGTGAGAAAGCTTCGAGGCATCGGTGCATTGCTGTCACTTCTCCAGCAGATGGCGCAGCGAGGTTGGGATTTTGGCTCTTCTTGCACGAGCCAGCTGCATAGACTCGCTTTTTCCACTACCTCAAGTTAGAATGAAAAAGCTGGAGTAGTACCGGAAAGAAAATACATATTGCTTGCAAAATAAAAGCATTATGTTGACTCTTATGTGCCATTGTTCTTTATAGAAGAAAACACAGTGTAAACAGAGTATTTTGGATTCATCTGAAAAATGAATTCCTTACAGTAACCTCTGAGACTCACCTCAAACTACCCATGAGGCAAGTGTAGAGTAAGTCTGATTTCCACATTTTGTATTGCTTTTTTAATTATTACTCTCGCCATGTTTAACTCCTTTGAGTAATTCTTATTCCACGTCAACCACAAGGACATGATAGGAAAATGTTGATTACTTATGACCATCAAGAGCAAATGAGACCTTCATTATTTTTGTTATCCCTGAAACTGATTTTTAACATTTTTAACATGGCAAAGGTTCTCAATCCGTGATAGATGAGATTTTTAACCAGAAAACACTATATAAGGGGTACCAAATTGTTCAGTGGTCCACAAGATCAACACAAACTACAAGTTCCTCACAGAGCTTTAAGACCGCTTACACGGTGACAGGATAAGGATATCACATCAAATACATTTTCCCCAAAAGGGTTTTGCCATTAAAAATATTTTTAGCATTGCTTAAGATTAAAGCTCCTGTGAGGAACTTTTTCACAGGGTTCACTCTCGTTTTGGAACGAGTATCTGCTTGGCGTTTCGCATAACAGTGATTATATTTTCTCTTCTCTTCGTTTCTAGTGAAAAATGCTACTGATTCTACCTTTAAAGAAAATGTATTCGATAGGTGTTTTATTTTGAAAATTGATACCGGAAGTATCTCTGCTTATCACGTATAGCTTGATGCCGGTCTGTACCGCTGTGTTGGCAGTCCGTCGTACCAGAGAGAGCGAAGCGCTGGATTCAAGTGTTTATATCTCTGTTCTGTTGGCTCTGAAATACTCCGTCCGTGCAGGTGAGAAAACACCTTAAACATTATTTAGTGGAGCGTTATGAGGGGCACTGAAATGTGCATTCACGCGTTTGTTCAACGCTTTGGTCGTGAATAGGAGACGTTACGATTGTTGAAAGCGGCACTTTAATTGTTGACTCGGTTGCTCGTTTAGTTGATATCGACCCATCAATACCGTATCATGTTTCGAGTTTTGCACATGGGAGCAAAAATTAGGGATGAATAAAGTTAAGTAAAGGAAACACTTACATACATAACTACGGGAACAGCCCCCCCCTCTCCCCGGGAATGTCTCAGTTAGCTTAAAGATTAATGAACGTAAGTAGCTAGCTTGTTAGCTGACTAGTTAACCAGCGGAGTCGTTAACGTTTTACTTCGTGCCGTCCTCATCACGTCAATGAACTCAGTGTGAAATAATGGACATGATTTGTCGCTTTGCTTACTGACTGTTGTAACCGTGCCCGGTTATTAAACAATTCTACAAAAGTTAGTTCAGAGCAAGCTGTCGATTGACATTCCATGAATGACGATACAGAAGAACAACTAACAGTTTATCATCATTCATCATCTCAAACAACAGAATCAAACAACAGACTCACCTGGTTTCATGATCACATTCATTTATTTTAACAAAGTAAAGGTTCACAGACTCTCTGCTCTGTGGTAACCATGGACACCAACGGTAGAATAGAATGTCGAGTTGCTTAGCAACAGACTAGTTTCAGTTAAACTGCGGACTAGTTGAGTTGGTGGAGTTAAAATATAATCTGTTGTTGATATTTACTCTTTATCAACATTTCCTGCTCTTGTACATCTGTTGTATTAAAGTAATATGACACTGGAGGTGGAGATGTTGTTCTGGATATCAGCACTGTTGGGATTATCTTCAGAGCCAATCACAGCAGGGCTGATATCCAGGACAACATCACGACCTCCAGTGTCATTACTTACTTAAAGTTGCATTGTCTCATCCAAGAGCAGTTCATATAAAATATTAATAATAATAATAGCACCTTTAAAAAACAGATGTTGACAGACGAGGCAAAAAGGTGTAAAGGCTGGACAATGACAGAGTAAACATCGACAGTCAGGTCAAACAGAGAGAAGTGCACAAAAATAATATAAATACTAACACCACAGGACTAAGAAAGACACAACAGGCTGGTCTTAAAGCCGTAAAGCAATACAATTAAAGAAGTCAAACAAGCTTTCTTGTTGATACATGAAATACAGTTTTGTTTTGATATTTCACTGATTAGTAACAGCACTGAACCAGTAGTATCATGACTGGGGTTAGGTGTGACATGTCCTGAAGCTACAGGTTAATGAGCACAGGCTGTGAAAGCCTTCAGGAGAGGAGGGGCATATCTGCAGCATCCTTGGTCAGACGTAGGCTCGAACACTGCGGGCTGGAGGGTATTTTTAGACTGCCTAATGGTAGGGTTTTATTGTTTATGGCCTTACTTTGAGTTATTTTCCTCCCCCCACATCACTGCTTTGGTTCCAAGGCTTTGCCCTTGCACATCCATTGAAATGTCTAACTGCTGGGTTTATGCTAGAGAACTGGTGCAGACTGTAGGAGACACTGGAAACCAAAGAAACAGCATGTGAATCATAGTTAAAAATGGCAACCACATTTTCAGTCTTAGCAACCAAGAGCTGAAGTCAGGTCGCCAGTTTGGCATGAAGGAAACTACTGGCCTTTGTTGAAGAGAAGACCAAGCAGTTGCCTACATTTGGACTTTCTTGATGCACTGAATGTCGGGTAGTGATGAAGTTCATATGAAACTATTTGAAACACGCACTCTTTCAGGAGAACTCCCACTGAAATCCTCCAGATCTGGTTGTCCAAACATGCATCTCACAGAGGGAGACTACCCCAGTGGGACAGTTAGGGGGTCTCCTGATGCAGGACGTGATGCAAAAAGAACAACGTGGAAGTGGTGAACAAAGCAACAGAGTCCGCTATATAAAGCTGACAATATTTGTCTTTATATCAATGTTATGTGTAGTTCAACAGAATCACGATATGAACTAAGGAGTGGAAAAGAACATACTGGAGAACAGAAAACATAATGCAGCAGGTTCATCACGTGCACAGAGATTGCAACTGTCACGTGCAGACAGTCTATGGTCGCTCACTGACTGCAGCCACCACCTGCTCCCACTCCCTCGGGGTGAATTCTTCTGATTCTCAAAATGAGAAATTATGATTTAATGTAGTTTAACCAGTAGAGCATGCTCAGACTCAGCAGCGCTGTCTGCAGTCACTTATAGCAAAGAGTCCCAGCTTAGTAAATATACACAGTCTGTCTGAATATTTGCATTTCCATTCTAGTTAAAAAAAAAAAAAATCACTGTTCTGTTATCTTGTGATTATTTTCCCATCTAGAGTTTGTAATAACGCCATCCGAATCAGAATGACTCCCATAAGATAACTCTCTTTGTGTCCAGGCTGCCGGGATGGGATGTGATCTGGATGGCTGACGGAAAGGGACGAGGACCAATCACATGATAACATGCTTGCTCGTAACCGCTTCCTCCTCCTGGTGGTGGTGGGCGGAGCTGCGCTGGCCATCATCAGCCTCAGCTTGCAGTTCCGTAAGTGTTTTTGTGTTTTTATCCCACACGGTTGCTTTGTGTGATTGTCCTGTGTCTGAAGAAGTGGCCTGCTGTTTAAAGCATTTCTGATACAAAAATATGCATATCCTCTCCTTGCTTCCCCATTTAGGAGACCCTATTCATACAGAAACAAAGCAGAATCCTCTGTAGACTTCCTATATATATCTAGCTCCATCAGAGGGCCTCCGAATGCTCTGCAGCAACACTCTCATATCTTCTGGGGAATGCATAGGTGCACACAGCTCTGCCTTTCCCCATCAAGTCATTGTTCAGCCTCTCCTGGAGGTATTGTCTAGACAGTTTATCCCTGCCAGCCGCAGTGAATGCAAGGAAACCACCGCTCAGTGAATGAAGACAGTCTCTTAGCACTGTAAGCCTCACAGACTGTTTGGAAAGAGTGTGTGATGATGCAGTTTGAGCAGTACAAATGGAAATATATTTTTTTTATCTTAAACGGTTGAGATAGAGCTGCTTCCTGCTGTATTCCTGAAAACCAAAATGCAGTGGAAGTGTGTGGTTATGGTAAGCCTGTGTCTGGACAAGCATAGGATTAAACTGGCATAAAGCATGCTGTAGCACACACAGGATTACAGTGGCGTGCAATTTGCTGTGCATGTTTGCCAAGATTCAGTTTGTTTTCCTTCATCAGTCTTTTTAAGATGCTGTCCTCTCGTCTAATTTTCAATTTTCTTTTTGAATTTCTTTTTCTTCTGTTGCTTTAAATGCCATGCGAGCTCAAAAGTGTAAAAATGATAGGAAGAGCATGCAGGCCGCTGCTCGTACTAATCTTGTGTTTGCACTGTATGACCCCATACAGGCTTCCCTCCCCAGCCATCCCTCCTTCTTCCTCCCTCCCTCCCTCTTCCTCCTTCACTTGATAATAATTCTTGACCATGTGAGACCAGGTTGCAGTGTGTGTTATTATGACCCCTCCATCAAAGCTTGTTGACATACAACAAGGTGTTACAATGAGAGCATCCATCCTGCTCGTAATAATAACTCTCAACAATTGACCTCTTTTCAATGTGAAGGAGTAGCGCTCTACTCCGAGCTCCTTGCTGATGTTCAAGCTCCTCACCCTATCTCTACAGCTGAGCCCAGACACACTCCAGAATTTTTTTTTTTGGCCACTTGTATCTACGATCTTATTCTTTCGGTCACTACCCAAAGCTCACGACTATAGGTGAGGGTTGGAACAAAGATCAACCAGTAAATGGAGAGCTTTGCTTTCAGACTCAGCTCCCTCTTCACCCCAACAGTTTGGTACAATCAGCAGATAGAGCAGACGCTGAGCCAATCCACCCGTCAATCTCATGTCCATCTGACCCTCTCCTGTAAACATGACCCTGAGTTACTTATACTCAATCACCTTGGGGTAAAGCTCTTTACTTAATACATAATAATGTCTCGTTTGTTATGTTCCTCTTTATCCCACAAATTATGAGGACAGACTTTGGTTGCTGTTGGTTATCTGCTAACTGCTGAAAGGATGCACACAGTCAAGTCAGGAAATGTCAATCCTCTTCTTCAAGTTCACACAGATGTTAACTCTGCTCTTTCACTTCCTCCACTGTCAGCTTTAAGGTACAAAACAAAAACATTGCCCCACATTCGCTGCTTGCACTTTTCATTCAGAACTGGGAGGCAGAAAAATGGCACAACACCCCCAACAGTCAGCATAAAGAGCAAATGTATCTTTTCTTTTATTTCTCCTTCAAAATGGGCCTTGGCTTATTTTTAGAACAGTAGTACGCTTAGAGTAAAGCTGCTGTCATCATTAATTCATCACTCATACTGAAGAGAAAGATTTGAGCCAAATATCACGGAGAACCATGTGATGAAAGCGTCTGGGATTTCTCTTCATGTTTAGGAGATGGTCAGCTTTTTGTTCCACATTACTTTTCATTTTTATAATACATCTTCACTTTCTGCATTTCCACCTGTAGTCTGTGTCTCTATGGTTTCTTTCATTCAACCGCCCCCCCCCCCCTCCTTAGAGGGGGCCCATGCCCACTCTAAGCGAATGGGCATGGCTGTCACAACCTCTAAAGGAATCCCACACAGATCTGTTGAGTACACGGAGGAAGAACGTCCACTTGTGAGGACTGCGCTGTGGCGACGAGGGGGCTGTGATCACTACTGTGTCACTGTGCCACTTCAAATAATTACACACTAAACGTTAATATCAGATCGCACTCGGCAAGAGCAGATACTCCATATTAAAGGATTTGGATCAGCGTGGGGGCAATCAGAGGTCTTATAAGTTCATCCCTAGCTTTTGCTGTGTTGCCAAGCATCAGTGTTTAATTAAATGTGCCGAGGAGACGGATGTTAATCTCTGCTCTAATACGGTTTGCAGCCCTGCAGATTGCTTATAAAGCACTAAGCTTCTAGTTTGGTTCCATTAGTTCCCTGTGAGCTGTAGTGTGATTCTTTGTGTGTGCACGAGACCCAGACAGGGTTTGATAAGAATGAGAAGGGTTTATATGATGGGCAGCTGTAGACTGTCGTGCCCTTTCACACACACTCTACTCGGCCTGTGTCAATATTTGATGCAGTTTTTTAGTGAGAACATTTTGGAGTCGAGTAAGCGTGGACACACCCTCTGAACTTCATGACAGCTGGCAACAATTATTTTGTATGCATTTTAGTGGCAGGATAACCCTGGTTGATTATGCCCTTAGATAGAAGTCAAGCTGTGTTTGTGTTTGCAGAAAGACGATAGGTTTGGCGACATTTAGAGAAGGAAGACTGAGCAGTGAGTACTATGTGCACTTCTTTATTGTAGGTAAGGATGCATGTAGGGTTGAATGTTTTTCATCTGGTAAGTGGTGGATAATACAGTTAAAATTCAGGATTTTCAGTTCTGTGCCACATCAAACACATGCTGACACAAATCTCACGATTTACCAGTAAGGCACGGCACACACTGATCCCACTGTATAACTGACTCGATTACGAGGAACCACCAAAGATGGACTGTCGGGCACGACCTGAGTGCACACACTGTATCGGAACGGAGCATTGTTTATTTTCAACAAAGCTTCCTTTGAGAACTCCACAGACGGAGGTTGAAGTCAGATTGATGTGCTCTTCTGCAGTCTTGTATGCTCGGCCGAAAGACAAACACCATCACAAAAAAAACGCTCTCCCTTTCTCACGCTCACTCTCAGCATCCCCAACAAACACGAGCTCTCACAGCAAACACTCCCTTTATGTCAGCAGCTACTTTCCTGCTAATGTCCCTCATGTTCATATCTTTCGTGACATGATGGGGAAGACATGTTATTTGTTAAATGTTATCACGATAAAGAACAAGATCATATCAGTTGATATCGGTAGTTATCACGATAATTGACATTATTTCTTTCAGTCTGATTTTTGCTCCTGAGTGAAAGTTAAAGACACGAGATGGTTAATTGTGGTTTAATTATTATTTATTGTCAGAACTTGATAAACTATAATTAAACAGAGGAACATTTCACCATCATAGGCTCAATGCACAGAGCTGGAAAACACTGATAAGACAGTTTGTTGCTGGGGAGTATACTGGCCCGGTGCTTGCTGAGGGTCCACTAACACTCGTTTTGGACGTTTGGTCATTTCTTTCCTTCGCTGTGTTCTAACGGGTCATATTGTTTCAAACGGTGGAAAAGGTTTGTGGTGTTGTCGGTTTTAGCTGCACTTGTCTTCGACACAGTTTACAGAGCACATTGCTTTGTTTCATGTCGAACTGTAAATATCCAAAATATCGAGGATGTTTTCTCCTTCTTTGAGCTGGTAGTCTCAGCGTTTTCTTCAGTGTCACTATCGCTCATTTCAGCTGTGTTTCCATTCTTCTCCAAATGTCTGTAAGCCCACCCACTCATTCTTATTTCAGGGAAGAGGAGAAACTAATGGAATCGCAGCCCGGCCGGCATAGCTGAACCCCCCTGTCAGACAGCCTCCTTTTGTTTCTAAGACCTGATCCAGTTTGATGAAAAGTTATTAACACATTATGTCCTAAACTAATACCAGTCCAGCCACATCTAGCTTGGGTGCATGAATGAGTTCTGTACTTTGAGTGTGTGTTTGCTACAGTGCACTCTGTGTGCCGGTGCTGTGTGGTTGTGCACTCGCTAAGGTTGAGCAGACAGTTACAAAAGCCCCATTGTGTAGGTGACTGTGACTGAGCTGGCTCCCAAAAGTTTGGTTGGTGCAGGGCAGGCGTGTGTGCGTGTGTGCGTGTGTGCGTGTGTGCGTGTGTGCGTGCGTGCGTGCGTGTGTGTGTGGTAATGGCAGGGTATGGGGCACCCAGCATAGAGGGGGACAGGTTGTGAATGCTCCAGTGTGTGTATGGCTGGACCTCAAGCTACCGAGCAGTCGTCAAAATGGTCTCTGCTGCCGCTGCACACCTTTTCTTCTGTCTCATCAGCGGTGAGTTTTTACAGAAACTTTTAATAAGACTCTTCTAATTAGCCTGTTAATACTAATTACACTGAACACGGGATCTTTACATCAATCTCAGCTCTTATGTAACTTTAATGGAACCTTGCTCTGCTGTTTTAAGGGAACGTTCACAGTACCATTGGCTTGACGTTTCTGATGTCTTCACACATTTTGTCCATCATGTCTCTTCAACTCTTGAATTGTACCTTTGCATAATATTTCATCTAAAGTGAGTAAGCTGCCCAAATGAATTGATCTCTCTCTAACTCCATCAGTGACATAATATTGGTAATTGTGAGTAATGTCTGCTGCAAAATAACGATCTTCTTCCAGTTGCTTTACATTTTTCAGGAAGAATTTTGCTCTTTTTTTGTTTCGTTTTTTTAGATTTATTTTTGGTCTTTTTTGGAAAGATTTTTGTAAAGATAGGACAGTTGATAGAGTGGACATAGGAGTCAAACCCGGGCTGCCCACTTGGAGGACTACTGCCTCTGTACATGGGGCGCACATACTAACCACTGGGCTACCGGCACCCCTAGAATTTAATAATTTTATCCTCATATCAACGAGTCTCACTCCCTGAACATTATGTAGTTATATAGCACATTTTGCAAACATTTCCATACCGACTCCTCCTGCTTCATGCTGGTAGATTAGATTCTGAGGCAATCTGCGTCATCAGCATCAATTTTTCAGTTGATTAGTCATGAAAATAGTGAAAAAGTAACATCCTTTAATTTTTTCAATAGACCATTGGTTCCCAACCTGGGGTCCAGGGCTCCTTGAGGGGGCTGCCAGAGATCTCAGGTGGAACTCAGCTTTTCTAAGAAGTAGGGGGTGGGCTCAAGGTGAAACAGACGGGAATCATTGCTGTAGACAAGTAGTAAATCTTCAGTTTGAGATGCCTAAACTCAGTAAACTGTAAATATTTCAGCTTTCCTACTGGAAAGAACTGCTGGTGTCATCATTTATTAACTAAAATAACAACATCAACAACAACAGCATTACAATGTGCTGTAGAGGCATAATCAGGGGTGCGATGGCAAAAAAAAAACATCTCTGCAACACTATGAACTTCATGAGCTCTTAACTGGAAGAGGAAATGGAAATCTGCACGTGTGAAAGCTGGAGAAAGAAGAAGGTGTCCAACTCTTCACACACTGCACACTAAGTGTACAGCTGCACTTGTGTGTGTCATTAAGTCAGAGGGTTGTTATGGCGATGAGAAACCATTGGCTGTTTTTTATGAGCAGGCAGAGCTTGTTTTGTCTCTGCAGTGGGAATTAATATTTGCAGAGTTGGCTTGCCAGCTTGGATTTCTGATGTGTGTGTTTGTGTGTGTGCGCAAGTGTGTGTGTGTTTGCGTGTGTGTGCGTGACATTAGCAGGATTTGGATGTCCAACTTGCCAAAGGTTCATGGGGGTTCAACTTCTTTTTCTCCGGAATTGAATATTGGCGAAAGCAACTTCCTGTTCCCACAACATCTTCATTCTGATTGGACCGTTTCTCTGAGGGGTCACAGGTCACTGGTGTCCAGGAAACACACTGGTAGCTCTGAGGGGTTTAAGGGTACAGAGCTGTTGACATGGAGAGGAAATGTGGTCGAACTGGAGATTACATTTATCTCAGAAATCCTCCTCTAGTGCCTTCATAAAGTTGACATTTTGTTTGTTGTTTGTTTTCTTGGAGTATTCATGGTTTCAAAAGAAACAGATCTAAAAACATTTGGGTATCCCTTGATTTGTTATACATCAGCATCTATTGGATATTCATGGTTCCAATGGGTTACCTTTAGGGACATCCTGATTATTCATCTAGCATCACTCCGAGGCTTCCCGAGCAAAATCACAAATCCTTTTAGTCATTCATTTACTCTTAATCTTCATTTGGTGATTTATCTGTGAAAAAATCTTTATAGTGTATAAACAATTGAACATGTCGGTTTCGCATATTTCAAAATAATAACACACTACAGTAAATGGAAATTGTAAACATATTTTATTCTGAAAATCAGCATTTTGGCGTGCCGCACCCCCACACGGCCGTTTTGGACGCCCCTCGGTTTGCCAGATATGAGAGCAGTTATCAGGTCAAACCAACAGGTGTTGTAGTGATGGAAGTGGGCAAGAGAAGTGGTTCAGATAGAAGTGATTGTACCCGACCTAAAAAGCCTCTGCATGTTTCTAATAAGCTCCACGAACAGAAACGTGCTCAAACTAGGATCAATATTGGAGATGATTTTGAAAAATGGAGAGAGGTTAGAACACAGAAAGGTTTACAGACTGATGCAGAGCTGGATAAACACTGAAGCTTCAGTGTCCACCACATGGTGACCTGTGTGAGCATCGACTCTAGAGGGGAGGAGGCGGAGGGAGACAGCTCTCTACAAGTTATTGAATTTGGGCTGCAGTACCCATTTTAAACACTAGGCAGTGTTTCCCCTCGGTTTACAGCATTGGGGGGTGGGGACAAGCCAACATGCCGACACGGCAACACAAACACTTGAAGGAATCTTGGTGTTCATGTGTTACTTTTAATGACAGCTGTCCTTTTTCATCGGAAAGGTATCCTTAAATGACTTCTTTCCCTGATTTCCGACTCTATCCACTATCCTATCCCTACAATAAAGGCCCAAAAATAAATCTTGAAAAAAAAAAAATATATATTTTTTTACTTGACCTTCAGGGGGAGCGGGCCGCCCCCCCCAATATAATGGTAGGGGAAACACTGCTAGGTGTTAGAATTACATATTGCTGCTTTAATTTAAGGAATAAAGTAAAGTTGTTTTAAAGCGCAACCTCTTTCTTGGAATAAAAATGTGAATGTATGAAACAAACACCACAAATTATTCTGAACTAGACGCCCACCAGGGCTTTGAAGATCTTAACCCACACAGCACAAATAAACCAGTTTTAACGGTCTGTTAGTTACAGGGGATGCATTTTTCCACAACAAATTGACTGTACATCCTGCAGGGTTTGCTGAGGCTCTCAGACTCTGCAACCGAGCTTTCCGCTTCAGTGAGCACATGGGAAGGCCCCTTTAGAAAAAAGTGTTTTGTTATATTTTTAGAGACATAATTGCGGAAGATTGTGGTGGCACGCACATTTGTAGAGCCTTGCATGAAGAAAGGCCTCAGTTTCTTTCCCCTCTGCTCTCTTTATCCTTGCTCTGCTTCCACTTTCTTTATACCTTTCTTTTTCTTTTTCTGCAGTGAACCTGATCCCCACCACTCCCGTAGAGGAGGAGCGACCCTTCCACGCTGCCGATGGAGGTGTTGGGGTGGCTCTGGGAAAAAGCAGGAAAAGAGTTTTCCCGATGCCTTACACCCAGGAGCCTGACCCCGTAGCCGAAGCTTACGGCTACTGCAACACTCCCAACCGCAGCGAACAGGCCTGGGAGGGTGAGACCTGCACACTGAGTATTATATCTCTAATCTAACTGCCTCTTCAATGAGTACGTGACTTTGAGCTTGGTTAGATCTACAATTTGTGCTGCTGAGATATTTAAATCTGAAGTGACATGAGACTAGCGTCGGTACCATGATGTGTCGGATCATCCCTGATTCAGAGCGCCAAACACAAACCTTAATCAGCTCCCAGATCACCCCGTTTGATGGACAGCTTTTAAATTCTTAATGTAGTCATAATATCACATTTAGTGTGTCAGGACTCAAGGGACGTTTTAATTGTGTAAAAAATCATTTCCACCAGATTGCATCATCCATAATACTGCAGCACTTTCTCTCCACAGCGCAGCATTTAGTCCTGTGTTTGTTCCTCCTTTGAGAAGTCAGCAAAGCTCGAGGCGATCACACAAATGTCCCTCACACTGCATAAGACAGTGTCTTATGCAGCCTCAGCTACTTGATTTAGATTTTGGTAATTTTATGGATGGAAGTCTTTTTTGTCCAAAGTTTAAAAACAAATCTCAAATGCAGTTAAGATTTAGATTTATATTTTTTAGAAAATCAGTCAAGAACCAATTGTTATATGAAGGTGGCGTATTTTCCTTCAGACGGGATCATTTTCTCGTGTCATCGTTTCTTCTGTCTTAATAATTGCAGACTAAAAAAGGCACACATTTGGTCTCAGATATGAAGATAATTGTAGACAACAGTTTTCTACGAGTCATGGTGAAGCCTTTGCTGATATAGCATTTCTGTACACTGCACCTGTAAGCTGATGAGCCTCTCTTCTCACAGGTCACAGTCCAGCTGACTACAAGCTTCTGTCCGTGCAAGTGATGATTCGCCATGGTGACCGTTACCCGCTCTACTCCATCCCCAAGACCAAGCGACCCGCCATAGACTGCACCTTGTCCAGCAGCAGGTACAGACATGAGTCCTACAACATATATAACATTGAAGAAGGGCGTTCAGAGAATTTACATAATAGCGTATTTAAAGGAGTTCTTCAGTGCTTTTTATCATCATCAAAACTTAACATCATAAACTTTATTTAGCTCAACGCGAGCCGTTTATTGACGAAGCTCTGAGTGTTGAGATTTGAGTCAACAGCTTGTCAATA